CTATGATCCATCTATCTGTTTCCTGGCGTGGCTGTTACCCTTCAATTTTAAGGTTTTGACTTTTTAAAAAGGAGGAGGTCTAAGACTTCCAATTAGCGATAGGACAAGCTGGGTCACCTACACAGCCCGCCACCCCCAGCGGCCAGCAGGGTTGGTGCCGTGTAGCCAATAGCTTCTGTGGACACATGAGTGAACTCTCCTGGGGCGCCCGAGGAGCCCAGCCGGTGCGTGGCTGCCTCCAGCTCAGGACGTGACCCCGGGGTCCCGGGATCGAATCCCGCCTCAGGCTCCCTGCAAGGAGCCTGCCTCTCCCTCCGCCGGGGTCTCTGCCTCTCTCTCCAGGTCTCCCATGAATAAATAACTAAAATCTTAAAAATAAAACAAAATAAAATAAACAAGTGAACTCTCCCGAACGTAAGGGAAATTCTAAGGGCCAACGCTAGGCTCTGAGTTCTCCACCCGGGATGGAGATGGGGCGGGGAGGTGTTCAGAGATAAACTAGAAGATGTGAAGCCTGGGGGCTTAGAGCTAGGATAGAGACCCTTAGAGAATGTGGACACCACGGAGGGCTGCAGTCTAACATCTAACATCGCCTAAAGGAGAAAACAAATCCGCCCTTAGGCAAAGTAAAACAGAAAGGCTGCCGGAGAGGGACGTGACAGTAAGGCAGGCTTTCCTGCGAATTATAGCCCCGGGGCTTGTCTTCAACTGTGCTGGGGGCCACACTGATATTTCCTGCTTCAACCGGGTAACAGATGTGAAAAGGGTCACCCAGGACTTTGCCCCGCAGTACTTTCAGGGGAAGATTTTGTCTTACAGGGAGGCATCTGCACTTCAGGATCAAGAAGAAACCTAAAAGCCCTGGCTGCTCAGGCATCTTCCACGGAATGAGCCTTTTTGAAATTGTGATGTTTTGGACTTGACATTTAATTCCACAGACTCCTAATAAACACCGAGCCAGCCCCTGTCCCGAGGCACTGCTAGGCCTGCACGCAGGCTAAACCTGGGCTCTGAGGGCGTGCGGTTAACCCCGAGTTTTCTTTCATCAGTCCTTAAACTGGCCCCTCGGATGATAGGATTTCAAGATCCCTCCGACTCCGGCGGCTGCACGGGGCGTGCTCAGAAACCAGAGGCTAAGCAGCAGCTGGCCAGGTGGGGCAGCGAGGGGCGGCCAGGTGGGGCAGCGAGGGGCGGCCAGGTTGGATGATGAGGGGCAGCCAGGTGGGGCAGTGAGGGGCGGCCAGGTGGGGCAATGAAGGGCGGCCAGGTGGGGTAGCAAGGGGCGGCCAGGTGGGGTAGCAAGGGGCGGCCAGGTGGGGCAGTGAGGGGCGGCCAGGTTGGATGATGAGGGGCAGCCAGGTGGGGCAGTGAGGGGCGGCCAGGTGGGGCAATGAAGGGCGGCCAGGTGGGGTAGCAAGGGGCGGCCAGGTGGGGTAGCAAGGGGCGGCCAGGTGGGGCAGTGAGGGGCGGCCACGTGGGGCAAGGAGAGGCGGCCAGGGGGGCAGCAGGGGGGGCGGCCAGGGGGGGCAATGAAGGGTGGCCAGGTGGGGCGGTGAGGAGCCTGCTGGCGGGGATCCCTAAGCTCAGAGGCCGGGGCAGTGTGACAGGAAAATACCCACGTAGCGCACATTTCCAAAGTCAGTCCAGGAGCCCGAGTCGCCGGTGGCCGGTGCCGCCCTGGCCCCAAGGACTCGGGACAAGGCCTGCTGGCCGCTCGCCTGCCGCCCGAGGCCCGGCCACACGCCTGAGACCCTGCAGGCCAGCTGGCCCCGGCACATCGTACAGCAGGCGCCGTGGCACGTCGGTGTGGCGGAGCTTGGTTTTCAAACATCCTCGAAATCCAGATGATCCCCAAGCAGTTTGGAATGTGGGCTTATTCCACAGAGAAAAGACTAAATACTGGCACGAAAGGGGTTTTTCGCTTTCAATCAGTTATTTTCACATCGTGTGATAATGAAAACGCAGCTGGACGAGTCACAGAACAAACAAGAGGCCAAGCACCTCACGGAAAGCTGGGGTGCTCGTCCACAGCAGCCCCCGAGCCTCCCTTACCAAGCCCCTTGGTGGCTCTAGGGCCGCTGCCAACTACTAACAAGCGGGGAGAAATAAATCTCGGGTTGTTCAGTGGTTAGAATTCAGATTTTAATCTAATAATCAATGATGCTGTTTTCATCATTAGAAAAATCTAGAGATCGCCCAGAGGAAAAGATGGAAACGTCCAGAGGCTCCTGGAAAGTAGGGTTGGCCAAGAAGGAAGCTGAGGTGGCTCCATCCCTTTTCAGGTCACAGCCTTAGTCCCTACTCCTCCTCTGATGTTCAAGGCCCCACAAAATACCCAAGCTCCACCTCTTTGTCCCCCTGTTCTCCGACATGGACTAGTGGCCACGCCCAGCTCAGGTCTCTGCTGGCCCAGAGCCCCCATGGGCAGCCCATCGCCACACCTGTGCTCCAAGTGACCCCCCGGAAGGCCCTCCTTGACACTCCGCTTCCGCGGCCCAGTTGCAGGGCTGCTGCCTCCCCCCAGCCCACGATGCCCTCAGCGCCGCCTGAGCCCCCACAGGGCCGCGGTTCCTGTCGGCTCCCCACCGAATTGCCACACTTCACCTGGCACTTGCTCTTGTCCCGACATCCTCGACACTTGACACATTCAGATCTTATCCCTCCAGCTAACTGGGTGCTCCCTGAAAGCAGAAACCCGGTTCCTACCTTCCACTGCATAATCCCCCCTGAAAAGCCTGGCATGGTCGCTCTGCGTCATGAACCTCAGAGCATCACTTTCCACTAGCCTTCCAAGTTTAAGGACAAAAAAGATAAAAGTGGGAGGGAAGAAGGGAAAAAGAGAAATTGTGTGAACGCTGTGATTCTTTCTGATATCTGTACTTTGGAAGAACTGGTTTTGACCTCTGGACAAAGGACCACAAGGGATCGTCCCCTTTTCCTGAGAGGAATCCAAGCCGAGAGCTACCGGTCACCTGTTTTTCCTTTGTGGCAGGGATATACCTGCCCACCGTCAGACTTGGACAGGGCCTCTGAAATCCGGCCCAACGCCTGAGAGCACTGACTCACAAGCCCTCCTTGTCCCTTGCATCCCGCCTGCGAGGGCAACGGCGAGGAAAGCGCTGCCACATTTCCTCTGCAGTACCTCCGGCTAGCGGCAACTGTTTCAGAAGTGAGTCCCTGCTGGAACCATCCCAAAGGTTACTGGCGACACAAGCAAACCATCCTGTTTTTGTCCAGAATCACTGTTTACAGTGGGTCCCAAAATTTCCTGCATATTAGGACTACCCGGGGGATTTCAAAAATCCTAATGCTCAGCCACCACCCCACACCCTGAGAACGGCCTCAGGCATCGGTGTTTTATGATTTTCCCCTGTGATTTCAATGTGCCACCAAGTTTGAGAAGCAACTTGGGTTAAACCAAGTCCATCAGCAACCTGCCCAAATGTTCATTCTGTAGGGGTAACGTTAGGAAAACACTGGCTTATTCCAAAATAAGCACATGGCTGCAGAAGGCAATGCAGAGAGCACTTATCTTTAATTACCAGGATGGGTTGGTTATCTAGCTCGTGATTAGGCCAATCTTTGGCATCTCCATGTTTTTCTCTTCCCTGTGGTCTTTTGGGACCCCATTAGCATCTCTACCTAAAAGTAAACAAGAGGAAGTTGGAAATGACAACAGTACACTTCACTTCCTATTAGCGGGGAGAGGAGCTCCCAGCGGTTCTTGCCCCTGACTGTTCATTAGAATCACCTGTGATATTTCCATCATCCAGTGCAGGGCCCTCCTCTCCGAGATGCTGGCGTTTCTTACCGCGTGGTCTCCGGACCAGCAGCATCTGTGTCACCTGGGAATTCCTTAGAAATGCAAATTCTCAGAACCTGAAGCAGACTTACTGAACCAGGAAGGGGGCAGAAGTCTGTGTTTTAATAAGCCCTCCAGGAAATGCTGATCATACTGGAGTTTGAGGACCACTGGCCCAGGGAGGACACAGGTTCCAGTGATTTTGAAGAGATCCACGGGAGTTTCTACTGGGCAGCCTCCGTGGAAGTTCATGTGTTAAACAGTAACGGCTTAGGCAGCTGGACAACTGCCTCTTAATTTCATTTTGCATGTTCTCCCAACGCCCAGGCCTCCATGGGAGGCAGGGTGCCTTTCACTAGGGGGGAGTGTGAGAGTTCCTGCATTATGTGACAAAATAATAGATTTGGTGCTGGTGTATTCAGTCATTTTAACAACTGGACTAAATCATCAGTGAAACCTAACTGTCCACTCAAACATTTGTCAATAAAATACTCTGTCCTCATTATCTCCCCCATTCAAATGACCGGACTTTCCTCCAAAATTAAAACAGCCCATTATTAGTGACTCCAGAACCAAATATAACCATTTTTCCTATTCAATGGGATAAAAGAGATATGAATATGGACGTGAAGGGTCTACTTCATTTTGAAATGGGCCCCTGGGTCAAAATTTCATGCTTCAATTGGGCATCCGTCTCATCCTTCAGAAGAAATGAATAGTTTAAAAAGCTCAGAGGTTTTTTGTGCATGTGCAATAACGGCATTTCGAATTCCAGCTTTCATACATTCTCAGGATAGAAGCCTCTGGCAAGATATGCAATAAATGGGATCTTTCTATGAACACCAATTCATACTTTACATAAAGGAAGTTACTATGCAGTGATGGATGCTTCAGAGAGTGGCCAACAGGCTGGTTGTTCTCTTCTTGTCCTGCATTTGGCTAGGCCTCGGGGTGGGAAGGAGCACTTACCTCTTCAGGCATCCAAGGATGCTTCAGGAGAAAAGGGGCCTTCCTGTGACTAGTTGATGTCTCTAAAAGGCTTTGATCATAAGTCGATGAGAAAAGATCTACTAATAGCCTCAGACAGGAGAAGTGGTTGAGATCGCAAGCATGCCTCTCTCTATCTATGCATCAAGTCAACAAGGTGGTTCGCTCACAGGCAGCTCTGGGGACCCCAATCTGTCTACTGAGAATTTACCTCGAGGACAGTAGATGTCTGGAGCCCATCGGTTGCACTCATAATTGTCTGCTGCCTTTTCACAGGTGAAACACTTAAATCCACCGGGATATGGTGTGGCTAGAAAAAGGATCAAGAAAAAGATTAATTTTTTTTAGACTGAGCACAAAATCCTGAAGTCAGACATGGTCATCTTTTTACAAAAGTTTTCTCAAGACAGCCTGGCAGTTTCTTTAAAAACTAAACCCGTAACTACCATCTGACTCAGCAGCAATTGCACTCCTGGACACTCATCTCTGAGAAATGAAAACTGATATTCACACAAAAACCTGTATGCAAATATTCACAGCAACTTCAGCCGTAATAGCCAAAAACTGGAGACAATCCAGATGTCCTTCAATGAAAGAGTGGTTAAACACACTGCGTGCGGTACCTCCATGCTATGGAATATCAGCAACAAAAGTGAACTATTAATACATTCAACAACTTGGATGAATTTCCAGGGAATTATGCGAAGTGAAAACAGTCCCCCAAGATTACATACTGTAGGATTCCGTTTATACAACAGTTGAAAAATGACATTTTAGAAATAGAGGAAAGTTTAGTGGTTGCCAGGGGGTAAGGATAGGAGTGGTTGGGGCATCAGGGGAGAGGAAGGTGGAGGGGGGGCTGATAGGAGGGATTCTTGTGCTACTGAAACTGCTTAGGGTCTTCATACGGTGGCAGGGACACAGACTTACACATGTGAGGAAACTGTGTCAAACTAAATACACATACAAATGAACACAAGTAAAATTGGGGACGTCTGGATAAGACGAGTAGATTGATTACATCAACATTAATAACCTGGTTTTTCAAAATGTTACCACTGGGGGAAACTGAGTGAAGTAAACAAGGGATCCCTCTATGTCACTTCTTATAACTGCTTACGAATGTACAACTATCCCAATAAAAGTTCCAACTAAAGACAGGCATTCTAGACATCCAATGATTTACTCTCATGCATCAACTCGCATAGACATGTCAACATGTAAATATAAATATTAGATTGAAACATTAAAAATGCCCTTATGTTTGACCATTTTGACCTAAAAAGTGGCAATATCTCTGGTTCAACCTGGTATTTTTATCTGGTTGCCCTGACATGGTTAAGAATCCCCGGAGACGGGGATCCCTGGGTGGCTCAGTGGTTTAGCGCCTGCCTTTAGCTCCGGGCGTGATCCTGGAGTCCCGGGACTGAGTCCCATGTCGGGCTCCCTGCATGGAGCCTGCTTCTCCCTCTTCCTGTGTCTCTGCCTCTCTCTGTGTCTATCATAAATAAATAAATAAATAAATAAATAAATAAATAAATAAATAAATAAATAAATAAATAAATAAAATCTATCTTAAAAAAAAAGAATCCTGGAGACAGTAAGCAGCAGCTAAGAAAAGAGTCTTCGTGACCAAAATCTATGCTGTGCAGAGGGGACCCTCCGAAGGCCGTAGCAGGCCCGTCTCTGATGTCCATGGGGCAGCACGCTGAGGCCACGTGGTGGATGTGGAGGCCCTACAGGCCTCTAGCTCAAGCCTAAGGGATGCGTAATCCCAGGAAGCCTTCCCTAGCCCATCCTCTCCTCACCCCTGAATTCCTGCCCCTTCCTACCTTCCGAAGAGACTGTCCTAGGTGCTCGTATCTTGCCTTCGTGTACCCTCGGACAGAGAGGCGTCCGGTTAGAGTCCCAGTCTAGAGCGCATGCCCAGCACACGCAGGACCTGGTGGGCACTTAAGGCCGAGCGTCCACCAAGAATGTCAGGTGCCAGGAATGAATGTCAGGTCGTCTCTGTCCTTTTCACTCATGTGCTTTTCCTCGCTGCTTATCAACTTAGAGTTTTGCCTTCCATAAACAGAACTTTCACATTTTTTTTTAATTGGTAAAATTACCTGGCCTCTTTCAAAATTACAAGCGCTCAAAGACTTCATCTGCAGGAGCCAACTGTTCTCCCTCGCAGATGGCCGAGCCTGCGTATCCCACTGGTGGAAATAATCATCTCAGGGTAAATTGCTTTGCCCACATGGAAGCAATTAAGTGTGTTATCAAAAATAAATGAAGGAGGAGGCAGCAGCTTAAGGCCAAAATGATGTGCCAGCTTTAACTCTGGTGCTCACCTTGCACAGAATAGCCACCGTCCTTGTACGTGCTCATACCATTTCACAGCTGAGCCTGACCCCATCCAAGAAACGAACATGATCAAAACTCACAACCTGTCTAAAAAAGGCAAGAAACTGGAACTTTTTAGAGGCCAACTATGTTCCTCCACATAGTCGGGGACTCAAATTCTGGGAGATAATGATAGTGAGGGCACGGACTGTCCGAAAACAAGAGGACGGGAGGCAGCTTAGAGCCGCAGCTCCCAGGGAGGAAATTTCACTACGGGGATACACGCTCCCCCTTCATACGGTTATAACAAAACAGAAGGAAAAAAGATCTTGTAAAATGACACACAAATAACGTTTATGTGTCCACACCTCACCATCCAGATAGGTGGGTTACATCGGAATGGAGAGATTCTACTTACATAAGAAGATATCTCAAGTGTGAGCCCGAAGAATTTAAAACAAGCAGGTCCTTACATTCCAAAGCCGCTCAATATCCTTATGGACACTGAGCTTATTTTGACAAACACTGTTATGAGAAAATCCATACGAAATATTCTAAGACGCCGTCCTACTGGATACATGAAAAAACTAGTTTCACCATCAATGTAAAAACACATAATACGTAAGTAGGTTTAAAGGAACTTCAAAACGGCTTGTAAAATTTGAGGAATTATCAGAGTCTTGGGAAAAAAAAAAAAAGGAAGGTTGTAAATGATTTGCCACCGAAAAGTAATTCTCAAAAAATTATCATCACACTCCCCCAGGTTTAGGACTGCAAGCCGGCCGTGCCACTGCAGCAGGTGTGATTAATTCACGAGAGCGTCCAATTTTATATGTCACTACAGCCAGTAAAACTCTTCACCGGAATGTTGGATTAGTTATTGCTGGAAACTTTCCCATCAAAGAGACAAATTAAGAACTCTGAATGAAGATTGATGATCTAGCCACGACAAGAATGAACTTCTTGAGAACTTGGCACTAAGAAGTTGTGGTGTTCCCAAATTTAGATTATTTACTGGACTCTTCAAATGATCTTTTGCTAGACAGGTGACATATTCCACTAAATACTGTTATTTCTTACACAAGTAGGCCTGGGCTCTGCAAGTAACCCAAAGCACATCAAAATTTAAACAGGACTATGAGCTAGAACACTACGGCGGCGAAACGAAGCTTCGCTTCAAGTCATTTATCTCGGGCATGACTATCAGCACCGGCTCTGACACTCAACCAAGGGATCTCCTTTTCAGTGAGTTTTACTTTTAAATCTACAACGTCATACCTGCGTGCGTCTCAACCACAACCGTCTAAATATTTGCTTTCAGCAACTTGTACCTGCATTTTGGCAGGTAGTACCGATGGGTGAATCATCAAACTCTTTTCTGTGACAAATCCCTTCAAACAGACTCCGTTTCAAGTGGCCAATTATAGCACAATATCAAGTAAATGGTTAAATTCTTCGCCCTGGAAATATTTAACCAAAAACTAAGGTCCACAGATGAGCAACTGTCTCCAGTAACTCGCTAACTGATACCGCATCTGATAAAGAAGTTCTTTTTTTTAGGAGGAAGGAAAAAGGTTCCTAAGAGATGTGTTATTTTCTTCTTTGTTACTTCAAAGCACTACAGAGCAAGTAAAGTTTCAAATCGTGGTGGCCTCAGCTGTGAATGAATCTAATTTGGCTCTTGATCACAGAGTTAATAAGCTTAGTGTTCTGCATTTCAGGGCATAAGTCCCTGGTCCCTCAAGAGTAGATGATTGTAAAGAAAAAAGGAAAAGCCAAAGCGCCCAGTTACTTCCTGTAATATAATCGGTCCATTAGAGTCCTACGGTCAGCCGAGGTTCAACCACTGTAATTCACTCGTAAGGCCATGGAAGAGACTCCAGCTTTGTTTCCATCTCTTGGAACTTTTGCCTGGACAAAGGCCTTCAGTCATCAAAACTGTGGTGAGAAGAGAATCTTGTTTTAAAATGTGTGCCGCTGTGTAACGCATCCAAACCTGTTTTATTCTTGCAAAACTAATTTCCATTGTTTCTGGAAACTGCATGCAAACATAAAATTTCTAGAAATCTGATACATTGATCTCCCTTCTGAGTCCATCTAGCGACAAAATATTGTCAGGATAATTTGAATGCTATGAACATATTTCTGACAGAAATGCATTTTCTGGTACCTTTTTAGAAAGAACGCTCACTTCCTAAGACTTATGCGGTACAGAATTGTGAAGAAACTGCGTTGGCTCACTCTCTGGGCATAAACAAGCCCCCCGCAGGGACACAGCTCTTTGTTCCACATGATTAAGGAAAGACTCAGAATATGCAGCCAGAGGAAAATTGGATTTCTCAGGAGAGGTTTCTATTAGAAGTAAAGAAATGGAGGCCAAGAACAGGTTGCAACCACTTAGGATGCTAACTAAATTCCACTATCTCGTCTGATGCCTGGAAACCTAAGAAATCACTCCGTTTCTCTGAATGCTAACTCCTGTTTTGAAGGTTTTATTGGTCTTTGGTATTTTAATCATAGGGTGGGAGGAAATTCATCATTTTTCAAATGAAAAAGGAAAGAAAAACATACAAATTACAGAACAGAACGTTATAGAGGTCAGTGCCTCAAGTTTGAAAGCCATGAAGTTGATTTTTTTAAAGGTCAGAAACCTCAAAAACTAGGGCACCAAGGGGTGTCTGGCTGGCTCAGCTGGTAGTGCATGCAATCCTTGATCTCAGGGTTGTGAGTTCTAGCCCCACGCTGGGTATAGAGATTACTTAAAAATAAAATCTTTAAAAACAAACAAAAAACGCACAAAAATTAGGGAACCAGAGATCAAAGGAGATGAGTCATGGGATGCTGAACTTTTCCAACCAAGGTTCCAATCTCACCTCACTTCGCTTATGGTCTCTGAGGACTGCTTAGTGCCCACGGAAAATGAATTTGTTCATGTGGTGTAGAAAACTTGTGTGTCTTCTCAACATCTCTAGCATCACAGATTTCTCCTCTGGTAGGTTCTGAGCAGTATCTAACATTAATGGGATCTGGCTCTCTTGCTGACCCCGGGGAAAGCTACTTGGGCTTCCATCTACAAAGTGAGGTGATTATATTAATAATTCAAAGCCAAGATAATCCCACTCTTCCCTCACCTATTATTTATGGTCTATATTCTATAGAAACCTGCTGATTTGCAGAGAGATCACTCCCTCTAAACCTGGTCTAGTGGGTGCTGCTCAAGGGCAGAGGACCATGACCTTTAAAAAAATTAAAGTCTAAGAGAAGCAAACAAACATCAAAAAGTCCTGAGATCGTGCAGAGAAACGTGGAGTAGGAACTGTTGACGGTAACTTCAATCCAGCAAGACTTTTTACTCCCCGCGACCAGTCATGGAGACTCTAAGCGAGAATTCAGCCCAGAGCTTCCAGGGAATCATCTCTGTATAATCTAGCTTAGGACCGATATCTTCTGGCCTCCATATCTCCAAATCACATCAGAAGACCCCACCAAGTCTTTCTATATGGTGAATCCTTTTTTTTTTTTTAAGATTTATTTTTTTTAGAGAAAGAGAGAGAGTGCATGAGCATGTGAGTACGGGGAGGGGCAGAGGGAGAGAGAGAATCTCAAACAGACTCCACGCTGAGCACAGAGCCCTACCCGGGGCTCAATCTCACAATCCTGAGACCATGAACTGAGCCAAAACCAAGAGTCAGCCAGTCAATCGACTGAGCCACCCAGACACCCCATATGGTGAATTCTTTTTAATTCTATCCTATTTAATTCTATTTAATTAACATAGGCCACATGAGCAGAACTTTCCTGCCAACCTCTAGAGGGCAAGACTGATTGCTCCTCTGGCCTTGCAGAGCTCATCCTTTAGAGATCCCATTCTGAAAAGGACTTTTCACATAGGGGGCCCACTCATCCCAGGCACTGACCCGTCACAACACTGGCACAGAAGTGGTCGGCGTGTGTGATTTAGTCTTGTTCACTCAAATCTAATCCCCTTGATTTTCCTCCCCACCCTGTGTACAATCACAGCCTCACAGGAGGCTTGTTTTTCGGCCCAGTGACTACTGAGTCTGTCACTGAAGCGGACAAAGAATCCCATAGAAACGGAGGGTTTTCGCAACCAAAACTGAGACTGAAATCTAGGTTTTTGTTCACCAAGTCTAATAAAAAAGCATGGCTCTTTGGAGAAGAGACCAAAATGCAATTCCAGAGAACATGGCAAGTATCAAAAAGCACCTTCTTTCCATGATCATTAAAATAAACAGTCCCGTAGAAACAAGCAGCCAGATACTCTTTCCACACAGTTAACCAGTAGGCACCAGCCTTTACTGGTGAGAGCGTACAATAGCAGCAAATCTGAAGGGACTACTTGCTGCCTGTCAAGTGTACATTTGGAGTTAAAACATTAGAGAGACCTATTTTCAGCAACTTCAGTTTACCATCTCACTCACTTACAACAACGTCATAAGAAACAAATACCAGAAAGGGAGACAGAACATAAAGACTCCTAACTCTGGGAAACGAACTAGGGGTGGTGGAAGGGGAGGAGGGCGGGGAGTGGGGGTGACTGGGTGATGGGCACTGAGGGGGGGCACTTGACAGGATGAGCACTAGGTGTTATTCTGTGTGTTGGCAAATTGAACACCAATAAAAATAAATTTATTATATATATAAAAAAAAAGAAACAAACATCCCACTGCCTCACGTGTAGGTGCCTCGTATCTTATGGATATTATCTCTGGTCCACAAAATAATGCACCAGAGTGTGTATTATTTCATCCACTCTAGAAATGTAGAAATGAGCACCTAACAAGATGCCTCTAAATTTCATTGAGCATTTACTTTGGCTCATACTCTGCTGAGTGCTCTGCACACATTCCTTTATTTAACCTTCACAAAGTTAGGGACCTTATTTCAGGCCAGAAGGCTACAAAGCAGTTGAGCGAGCCACGGACCCAAGATCCAAGCCCCTGTGCATTCCTCGGAACCCCTGTCATCTACACCAGAACACGTACACATGAAATATTCTGACTGGGTGGAGACTGCCTCCACTTGGACTATAAGATCCTCAAAAGCAAGAACCATGTTTTATTCGCCTTTATACCTCCCATGCCCTATGACGATGCTTGGCACTCAGTAGACGCTCGAAAAACATTTGCTGAATGGAACATTTCAGAAGAGTAACATACCTCAGGGCAAATGGTAAAGGTCAAAATACACCCAATATACCCAGCCTTCCCTACCACCGGGGCCACGCAGAAGAGGATTCAGACAGAAATAAGAGAGAGGGAGAAGATAAACAGAGAGATGGAGGCCAAAAGCAGAAGTTAAACTGCTGTTTCCCGAAGTGTGATCCTTAGAATACGAGTAAGAGAAACACCTGAAATTCTTGCCGAAAGCAAAAATTCATTGGTACAATCCCAGGCGTGTGCAATCAGACACCCAGGGAAGGGATCTGGGCACCTACATTACTACGCGCTCCCTAGATGATTCTCAAACACAGGAAACCAAAAGGGATACGGAATAGGAAGTAGCGGGAGGCCAACAACGCTGAAACTGAGAATTCGACGCACAGACAGGAAGACCAGCTATTATCTTGCCTGTAAAGAACTGATCTTTTTACAAACACCCTCCTCCCAGGACACGCCAGTTCACTTTGATAACCGATTGGGAGCTGGCACAAGTTAAAGGGAAGGGTGCTCAGCATCGGAGCGATTGTGCTGCGAACAGAGAAAACAAGCCTTAACAATCTGCCTTGGAATAAAAAACAAACACCCTATTTAAAAGGTGAGAGCAAAACATACATCTCTGGGGGCACCCGCACCCTCCCAATCAAATCATCCAAAGTTTCCCCTGCATGGAAGGCTGCCTTCGCCTGTCTTTCAACTCACATCTTTTTTTTTTAATAGATTTTATTCATTTATTCAAATATTTTATTTATTTATTCATGAGAAACACAGAGAGAGGCAGAGACACAGGCAGAGGGAGAAGCAGGCTCCACGCAGGGAACCCGACGCGGGACTCGATCCCGGGACCCCGGGGTCATGACCTGAGCTGAAGGCAGACGCGCAACCACGGAGTCACCCGGGCGTCCCAACTCACATCTTATTTAAAGTAAAGCGACATTTCAGCAGCAAAGCGAACAGGAGTCTTACTTGAAGGGTGGAGGTAGACAATGTCTTTCACTGTGAAGTCTCGCGACTGAGCGGCCTTCAGACAATCAGCCAGCAGGCTCAGGAGCAGGAGCCAGGCCAGGGCAGGGCCAGGTTCCATGGCAGACCGAGGCGTCACTCATACAGGGGGCCTGGGAGCCAGAACTTGGGACAACGGGAGGGAACTCGCACCTGAAATATGAAGCAAGACTCATCTTAGTGTCCAACTTGAGGAAACCCTGGGGGGCCCAGCAGAGCCCCTGCGCTGGTCGGATGAGCTGCGGGCACCACAGGAAGCCACAGGCACAGGCAGGTGGGTCGAGAGGGAGAGAAACCTTCTAAATGGTAATGTGAGAGCATGTCGAACAGTCCAGCCCCAATCTATTCTTCATTAGGTAGCTAAAACTCCCCTGGTGGGGTAGCAGTCCCCTCTAATATCCAGCAGAGATGGCCTCAGGAGAGACTGGGTTTTAATGAAATCCAGGTATTTCTGCCAGGAGGCCAAGGGATGTCAGCCAGAATGCACCAAGGCGGAAGGCAGGCACAACGGTTCAGGAGCATTTCCTTGGGAACGCCATGTATGAGAGTGCGGCACCCCTGGGTCATGGTGCCCAAGCAAACCCACACAGGCGAGGCTTTCAGATTTGGGATGGGATGGGATGGGAAGGGAAGGGAAGGGAAGGGAAGGGAAGGGAAGGGAAGGGAAGGGAAAGCAAAGGAAGGGATGAGATGGGATGGGATGGGATGGGATGGGATAGGATGGGAGAAACAGGATGGGATGGGAAGGCAAGGGAAGGGATTGGATGGGAAGAGATAGGATGGGATGGGAAGGCAAAGCAAGGCAAGGCAAGGCAAGGCAAGGCAAGGCAAGGCAAAGGAAGGGAGGGAGGGAAGGGAAGGGAAGGGAAGGGAAGGGAAGGGAAGGGAAGGGAAGGGAAGGGAAGGGAAGGGAAGGAAGAAAAGGAAGGAAAAGAAGGCAGGTAAATTGGCCTCTCCCAAAACAAAGAGTATCATCTTATAGCTCCAGATCCCCTTAGCGTAACTAACCGTATTGGCTGGGTGCTGTTCAAGCCCCTTACGTCCATCAAGCAATCCCCCCAACAGCCCTATGAGGCAGGCACTATGATCATCCCATCCTGAGCAAACTGAAGTCCAGCAAATAAGTAGAGGAGTTGGTTCCAACAGAGACGGTCTGGGCCCTGAATCCGCATCTGTTAGCGCTAGGTGATACCCCAGTCTTCCACAGACTGAGTCAAGGTGTATAAAGTCAAACTGATAAATGAGGTTAGAGCATCAGCGTAGCACTAAGCAGTCAGCATTGCATCCTTTATTCTGGTTCTGTCCTTTTCGATTAAAATCGAGAGCAGTAAAGTCTTTTACTAGGTTGAGCTGTCCGGCTCACTAAGAATGTGCATGCATGTCGTCATTCATACGTGCCACCGCTTGCCCTCTTACCGCTTTCCTGCCGTCTGTCCCTCGTGTTCTACTCTTTTGCAAATACCATCACTCTATTGCCCCCACAGGGAGCATGTGAGATAGTCACTGTATTTGAAAGCGGCAGAAATAAACACCAGTTGGACATTCTGTTTACGAATTTTTTTTAAGGATTTTATTTATTTATTCATGAGAGACCGGGGGTGGGGGGCAGAGACCCAGGCAGAGGGAGAAGCAGGCTCCATGCGGGGAGCCCGACGTGGGACTCGATCCCAGGACCCTGGAGTCATGCCCTGGGCTGAAGGTGGCACTAAACCCCTGAGCCACCCAGGGATCCCCTGTTTACAAACTTTAATACAAATATTACGTGAGATTTTTTTTAAAACTATGACAAAATAATTCTAAAATCATTTTGTCAAAAAAAAATAGATCAAGAGTAAATATATTATGAAACAAAATAAATAGAGAAAATCGGGGTGCCTGGTGGCTGGGCCCCTGCCTGAGGGCACCCCGAGAAAACAGGACACGAATGACAGACACCAACACAACGTCCTCCTAAAGGAGCATGGTGCCGCTTCCAAGGCCACCCGGGTGTGGCTGCACCTGAGGGCACACGGACCCCCAGCCTGCAGCAGCCCCCTGAACTGCAGCGGCCCCCCGACCTGCAGCGGCCCCCTGACCTCCAGCAACCTCCCCGACCTGCAGCGGCCTCCCGACCTGCAGCGACCCCCTGACCTCCAGCGACCTCCCTGGCCTGCAGCGGCCCCCCGACCTGCAGCGGCTCCCCGGCCCCAAGTGAGGCCCCCCGAACTGCAGCGGCCCCCCGACCTGCAGGAGCCCCCCGCCCTGCAGCGAACTCCCCGGCCTGCAGCGCCCCCCCCTGACCTGCAGCGACCTCCCCAACCTGCAGCGCACCCCCTGGCCTGCAGCGGCCCCCTGACCTCCAGCGGCCCTCTGGCCGGGGGGTGGGGAGCCCCAGCTGGAGGCCTTGCCCCGAGACCCTGCTGCGCCGCTGCACTCCCTGCGCCCTGGGTTTGCACCTGCCAAATGAGGTCACAATGCCACCTGCCTCGACGAATGACGTGAAGCGACGCGGTGAAGCCCTAAGGACAGCGTCCGTCACGCAGGAAATGCTGTGTAATATTTTCCTGTATTTTCATTATTATTGTTTTGTTCAAAATACAGCGTTCAAGTCAATGTGGTTTTCGAAGTCAGGGTGACCATGACAGGACTGTCGTGTTCTAAGGGAGAGTAACCAAGGGGCCGTGAATGGGGGTTCAGCACAGCTCGCTTTCCTGAAATCAGAAAAAATACCACAATTTCCAGAACTACTGGAAATCCACACCTCTTTCACCCCAAAATGTGCCCCGTGGCTGGCCAGGCAGGGACAAAGCAGGTGGGAGACGGGGAGGGTAGCTCCTGTCACCAAGCTTTTACTGTTGCCGAGGCTCATGCGGACGCAGGTGACCTCCTGGCACCCGCCATCGATGAAGCAAACAGGTGGTGACGCCCACCCACGCTCTACCCGCGTCTCCCTCCAGCCGCCCCGTGGGGCCTGTGTCCCACCCCAGGCCCTCTACACAGCTGCGTCACGTTTGCTCGTGTAAGAGGCGTTGAGAGAGCACAGGTCGCGAGGTCCTGTCCTGCCCATTTGCAGGCGCACGTCTCCGTGCAGGTGCGCTCACACAGGTGGTGGACCCAAGCATTCCTTCCGAACCCCTCAAGCAGCTGAGGCCTTGTCACTCTGACACAGCTCACTCGCGAAATGGTTCTTTATGTATTCCCTGGGCTTAGGTAGGCCTAGAAGAAGGCCTCAAAGGACAGATAGCAAAATGGTTGAGGACTTCTGATCATTTTAATATTCTTCTTTTTGCTTAATTTGTAGGCTGAAAAGGTTCTCATCAGCCAGTATTACTTCGGCAGAGTGTGTTTGTGTATCCACACGATTGCACGACCCGTCACCTGGCCCCGAACACTTGCATCACCCCCCAGAACTCCTGCACTCATCGGCGGCCACTCCCATTCCCCCCACCGCCCCCAACCCCTACGACCACGAATCTACCTTCTAGCTCTATGGGTTGGCCTACTGCAAACATTTTGTGTCAACAAAACCATATAACGAATGGCCCTTTGTGTCTGGCTCCTTCCAGTTAGTACGAGATTTTCAAGATTCATCCACGTAGTAGCATGAATGGGTTCATCATGCCTTTATTGCCGCTGAATAATATTTTAGGATATGAATGTAACACATTTGTTTATCCATTCATCAGCTGATAGACATTTGGGTGGCTTCCACTTCTTTAAGATTTTATTTATCTATTTGAGAGAAAGAGAGAGAGAGAAAGAACGAGCACTGAGGAGGAGCAGCAGGAGAGAGAGAAGCAGACTCGCTCCATCCCAGGGCCCTGGGATCATGACGTGAGCCGAAGGCAGACACTGACCTGACGGAGCCACCCAGGTGCCGCAGGGGGCTTCCACTTTTTGACTACTGGGAATAATGCTGCGAGAACATTCCTGTTCACGCTTTTGTGTGGACACACGTCTTCAGTTTTCTTGGGTATATACCTAAGAGTGGGATTGACAGGTTTTATGGTAACTCTGTGTTTAACTTTTTGAAGAACTGCCCAACAGTTTTCCACTGTGGCTGCACCATTTTACGATCCCATCAACAAAACACCAGTGTTCATTTCTCTATATCCTCACCAATCCTTATTTTCACTAAAAAAAAAAAAAAAAAAAAAAAAAAAAAAAAATTTTATTATAGCCTAGTGAGTGTGAGGTGGTATCTTCGTGGCTTTGATTTGCATTTCCCAAGTGATATGATGCTGAACATCTTTTCATGTGCTCACCGGCCATTTGTAGATCTTGGGATGATTCCAATTCAAATCCTTTGCTCATTTTTTAATAGGGTTATTGTCTCTCTATTGTTGACTTACCGGAGTTCTTTCTATACTCTGGACTCTGGACACTTTTCAGATATAGGATTTACAGATATTTTCTCCCTCCTTGTTTACTTTTCACTTCCTTGATGGTGTCCTTAGATATAAAACATTTTTGATTCTGATGAATCTCACACATTGCATTTAATAAATATAGATTTTGTTTCCTTATACAAGTCCAGTCCAACATGGCACTAAAAAAAAAATGTGCATACAATGCACAGTAAAAGACCTTGTCTACTCTGTAGTAGCCAGGGCTATATTTTCCACCTCTCTTTCCCGTAAGAAAAACAGAATGGGCAGACCTGTTTATTCATATCACCACCAACTGCTTACATTCCTACGGTAAATCCTGAAACCCTACTCACTCTATTAGTGTATCCTAGGAACTAAAAAATGAAAGATGAGTTACATGCATTCACAATTAGTCTAACCATCACTGAAATATGGGCTCTGCTGAAGGGGCTGTATTTTTTCTGTCCAGAGTCTCAGTAGGCAATGAAGCTTCAATCCCTAAGCCTCCCAAATATGATGCTGGATATGCTCAGATAATATGAAGGGTCTTTTCTAGGACTTTGATACTTTTCTCTGGAGTCCACTGTGCCTTTGGACTGTCCTAGACATTTAGAAAAGATGTTGCATTTCCATTTTATGTGCTGCTATTTGAATATGCACTGAAGACCCCATCCCTGACTATAGTTCTCTTTATGAAGAAGTACACTCTCATTTTCACAGCTCTGTGACCTTTCATTTGTTATTTATGAGCTTTTGCAAATCTAATACCATTCTGACAGATTTAATTTGTGCTCTAAATTACCTTTGCATGAGTTACTCAAGTGCTGGTTTTATTCCAATGGATAACTTGCTACGTTCTGAAACAGAAAAAAAAATAGTTCAAGATCTATTTGACTTCCTCCACTTGGGAGAAAGTTGAAAAGAGTCGCATTCTGATTTTCACTACATGGTAATACTTAGTATAAAGGAGGATTCCTAACACTAGTCAGGGAGGCAAAGTGATAGACCCATAACCCAGGTCAAGTTTTACAAATCTACACCCCAAATGCTATTTCATATAGAGTCCATAAAATAAGATACTCCCAACTCCTTAAACTGGTCACTAAGACAATTAATTAAGCACTTCTGAAAGCTACACTGACTAAGGTACCAACTACCAAATGACAGCACCTCAATACTAAATCACTACACAAGCAAATGTGAACTAGAGAAGTAATACAAATCTATTACTATCCAATACTATCCATATTGAAGTTTGAAATGCTTAACATAGGAGCAAAATGAAATTCTGAAGGCTGAAAGATCATGAGAAATCTTGACTTAATTTTAGATATGTGTAATCTAGGCGTGGTAGTACCTTAATGACTAGAGAAGTTAATCCAGCTCCCAAAAATACAAATTAAGAACATGTCTTCACAAAACGAAGACAACTTAAATGTATCATTCTGACTATAGTAACTTCTCACAATTTGAGAATCGCTTATAACATGGTGGTGGTTTACGAACACATCTGCAAATTCGTTGACATCTCTCCATTGAGAGGTGGGGTTTGCATCCTCTCCTTTTTATTCTGGGCCAAACTTACTGACCAGTTGGCCAGAGTATGGTGGAATAACTCAACTTACACGCAGTGTTCTGGAACACCCAGCCATGTAAGCAATCTGAGTGCTTTGAGTGCCATGATGAGAGGAAGCCCAAGTAGCCCACCCAGAGCTACTGAGATTTTATGAAGAGATAGTGCTGCCCTGCTAGTCCCCAGCTGCTCCTGCTCCACTCTCTGCTCCATTCCAGCTCCAGCCACGGTCTGATTACAACTGCATGAAGACTCCAAGTGAGAACTGCCTGGCCAAGCCCTTCTCAATTCCTGACCCACATAAGTGAGGAGAGAGAAATAAAATGATGACAACTCCTTTATGCTACTACATTTTGTGGTGATTTGCTATGTCACAATAGCTACCTGGAATATGAAGAGCTGGTACAGGAGAGCTAAGTAGGAATTACAGTGCCACTTATGAAGATAACCCATTTTTCATGTTGGTGGCAAAGTAAGGAAATTCAAATCAAACAGACTGTAACCAAAAGGTGGGCAAGGGAGGAAAGGGATGAATTTCACTGTCTCATCTGAGCGTCTAGTTTGGACATGGCTGGATTTTTAACCTCTTATCAGGAATTTCTAGCCCTCAACCTTGCTCCCCTCATTTGCCTGTATTCTCATTCAGGTCTTCCCAAACCGTGGCCAAGAACTGGATGTTGAGCCAGCAAAATCACACAGATGTCCCTACAATTAACAATACTAAGTTCTAAGTAACCTCATTAACCTGGAAATGCAAAATGAAACTAATGATGGCTCAAATGAGTATTTCTACAAATGCCAGAAGGTGGGGAAGTTACCTGTCGGGATGATTTTCTTCCCTAAAAATAAAATGCCATGCCATTACAACTTGGCAAATCAAAAGATAAGGTTGAAACGATAGTTCCAGTGGGCATTTAGCATCACTTCTGCCCTATGTCTCCTCCTCCTTATGCAATGGCTCTTCTACTGATACTCATCATTTGGTGTTATGGAGGTACATTGTATTCTTACATGGTCCATCCTATAGGCTACTATTGCTTGGACCAGGGTGGGAGATATGATCCAAGCCAGGCCAATCAGAGTTCTTCCTGGGTATTTTTCAAGCCAAAATCGGAAAAAGACAATCAGTCCTCTCTGGTACTGGAGTCCTCAAGAAATGAAACTTAGGAACATGTGTAGGACATGCTCCTCCCCATATGGAGGAGGAAGAAGACAATGAAGCTTGCTGGCCAAGAGAGTCAGAGATGAGGGATGGAGACAAGAGCTGAGTTGTGTGCAACCCTTGCCTTTTTGGTTAATTGTAACTCTTTCCTTAGAAGCCTCAATCTCGCCCTTTCACGAAGATGGCACCGAAGGCGAAGAAGGAAGCCCCTGCCCCTCCCAAAGCCGAAGCCAAAGCAAAGGCTTTAAAAGCTAAGAAAGCGGTGCCGAAAGGCGTGCACAGTCACAAAGAGAAGCTCCGTAGGTCACCTACATTCCGAGGACCCAAGACCCTGCATCTCCGAAGGCAGCCCAAATATCCTCGAAAGAGGGCCCCCAGGAGAAACAAGCTTGATCACTATGCCATCATCAAGTTCCCCTTAACTACTGAGTCAGCCATGAAGAAAATAGAAGACAACAACACACTTGTGTTCATTGTGGATGTCAAGGCCAATAAGCACCAGATGAAACAGGCTGTGAAGAAGCTCTATGACATTGAAGTGGCCAAGGTCAACATCTTGATCAGGCCCGATGGAGAGAAGAAAGCATATGTTCGACTGGCTCCTGACTATGATGCTTTGGGTGTTGCCAACAAAATTGGGATCATCTAAATTGAGTCCAGCCGGCTATAAATCTAAATATAAATTTTTTCACCAAAAAAAAAGAAGAAGAAGAAGCCTCAATCTCCATCCAGTAACCTTTTGTTGAGAGAGAGAGAGAACAAACGCATGCATGGGGGGTGGGGAGCAAAAGGAGAGGGAGAGGACAGACAGACAGACAGACTCTTAAGGACCTCCAGGGGTAGCACAGAGCCCAACACAGGGATAATCTCACAACCCTGAGATCATAACCCCAGCCAAAATCAAGAGTCAGATGCTTAACCTATGGAGCCACCCAAGGCACCCCCAAAAAATAACATTTTTGCCCAAGCTAGTTTTAGGTGGCTTTCTGACCCTTGCAACCAGGAGCTTTGGCCAATTCAAGAGTCTTCTAAAAGGGACTAGCCACCAGCTTAAATTTTTCTTTGTAACATAAATGCTTTGACATTAATACTTTTTTAAGGCTTATCAACAAAAAGGTTAGAGTTGGTTTTTAAAAATGTCAATAATAGGGGAGACTGGGTGGCTCAGTTGGTTAAGCATCTGACTCTTGATTTCAGCTCAGGTCATGAGTTTAAGCCCTGCACTGGGCTCCACCCTGGGTGTGGAGCCTGCTTAAAAAAAAAAAAAAAAAAAAAAAGTTAAAAAAATTTCAATGATAGAGAACTGGTCAGAGATTACCTCTTCCAGACTTCTTGGACACTAATGTTTCATTTCCATAAGCTATAGGGAGATACATGAGCACATATTCTGGTATGAATTGAGGATCTACTTGTATAAAAATCAATGCTTTAAAAAGATGTGTATTTCTTTCTCTGGAACCTCTTGGCGAGGCTAGAGTTATAGGGAAAAGCTGCCTTTGTACCTTTTCCAATCTGATTTAAAGGTCAGTTGCATCAAAAATGCTTCAATTCCTGAAGGATAAATGATTTCTGGCCACGTATGCCCAGCAGTATATTCACATTTCTAAGAAATGTTATATTAACTCTCTTCCGCTTGCTGGCTGTTTGCTTGTTTGCTTCCTCTATCAGTTTGAAGTTTCTAGAGAACTGATGAGATGGCATTTGGAAGTACAAACAGCCACAAGGGGATGGAGTCAAAGAACTCTCCAGGAATGGAACACCAGGTACATTTCAGGTCCAGCCTGACATTTTTTATTTGCCTAGAAGGGAGTGGTGGTTTGTAGAAATTTTTGCTTCTGTGTCATTTTTAAAATGCTTCTATATGATTAAGAATATCGTATTTTCATTTTATTTTTTCTAGGAATTTTCATCCTAGAGACCTTCCAAAAAATGTGGAAGTTCAAAATATTTGAACTTAATTCCCACCTTCAACTTACTAACAATCCCTTAACCTAATCTTGATTCTCCCCCAGGGCCAAGAAGAGCTAATTCACATCAAGTATTATTTCCTATTTTGCATGGAGTAGGGTTTTGCCCATGGTTCCAAGAATCCTAACCAAGTTTTTTCCAAACCCCTTGACGGTTGTTTCCAGACGGCCCTTTATAACTCAAGTTCAAGAAAACTGTAGTTGCTAGGGTAGGAGAGCCAGCCTGTACTCTCTCTTTTTGTGAGAAAAATAAAATAAATAAAATAAAATGGCCAACATTAAAACAGTGGCTTAAGTGAAAATTCTATGGCTAACTTTTTTCAAATCACTGGGTTCCTTAGTAGCTAAGTACTAAGTCTTAACCAATTTTTCTCATTTAATACAGAATATGTTTCCAAAACCAAATCCATCCATGCATTCATCTTCCAAATTTCTGACCAACCAGTGCCTTCAGTGGCACACAACATGTCTCCTGAGAGCGCAAAGACCATCACAGTTTCATTTTGGTGAAAGGGTATTGGGGTCTGTGAAAACTCAGTCTAAACTGTAATTTGTTATTTACCTCACCCTGGGTGTGAAGGCAAAGGAATGTACCAGATGACCTCCTGACTCTGTATCACTGAGGTGTGAATTCTTCCTTTGTAATGCACCATCTTCATTTGCAAGCCTCCATAAAAAATGGTTATTAAAGAAGTCTATTATTGTAGCAAAACAATATAATACGATTTTACATAATAGTATGCATCCAGGCAGAAAAAGATGCAGGAGTTATTAATAAAAGAAGACTGTCCTGGATAATAGAAACTTTTTATTTTTGCAACTAAATTAATTCCCTTCCTAGAGAAAAAATACTGAGTAGCTTCTCATGGATGAGGAAATGTAGGTAGGTATCTAGGTATCTAGGTAGACTCCACTCCCTGACTTCTGATACTGAAAGAGCCGCATGAGACTCCTCTCCCCTCCTCATTGCAGAGTCTTCCTATTCCTGTTCCCCAGTTGTCCTCCTCGTTCTCTATTTTACTTGCTCATTCACTCATCCATCATCCTCTGTGGGGCAGGTACGGCTAGCATTATCTGTTAAACATGCTGTCATTCATAGTTCCAGCTGAACAGATTATTGAACCCTATTACTAAAATCATTGATGTAATTCTTAAAGATCCCCTTCAGGTTGCTAAGTACATGGGAGGAGACACTGATTTGCTTTGTATGCAAGGGAGAGATGATACATCTTTGAGCCATTTAGTCAAGAGTGACCATGGGGTGATGATGACCTCCTGGCTTTACAACCAAGGCCACACATTTGCAAGAGGCCAGGTAGAGGAGTCAGGTAACACAGTGACTGCACCGGTCCTCCACAGGCCCTCATGGGGGTCACCAGGTGTTACCAATAAAAACCAACTTGAGGTCCACAGTCCTTCCTGACAACCAGGGCCGCTTATCTGGAAGAAGGAAGAAAGGGGGAAGTAGAGACAGGGTTGACCCATTACATTTTATAAAGACCCAGTTAACGTCTAGGTTCACATGAATTATCAAATAACTATATTAGTAATAAGGCATTGGAAATAGGAGGAATCAGAGGAAACAAAAGATGTCAAAATTCCAAAACATCATAGCCAGAGGTGGATGTACCATGCAGTGAAGGGGAGGCTTCAGGGTACCTGATGGTAGGGGCTCCTGCCACAGCCCTGTTCCTAATTTTAGGATTGTTCATTCATAAATGCTTTCCCTTAAAGAGAGCTCCTCCCTAAAAACCGGGATCAGCTGCCCCTGGCCACAGTAACGCAAAAACAATTCTTGGTATTAGTAATAATATTCTTGCTTTTTCTCTAAAAAGATGTTAATAAATAGAAATACATGCTGTCATTCTACTCTCATGGAGAGGGGAAAGAAAAAAAAAAAAAAGAAGTAGGAAACACAGCACATTAACAAAGGCCAGCCTCAAAACTGAGGAAGTGGAATCATAGCTAGAGAAAACCATCAACCAACCAAATAACTCCATCCCTTGGGGACCCCCTCCAGCACCACCTGTGAGCAAATCCCCCAGGAGCACTGCACGGAGAAAGAATGTAGGGTGCCCTCAAGGCAAAGGAGAAATTAGGGCCAAGAGAAAAGCCCAAGCTTTAGATAACACTTTTTTTTTTTTTTAAACAATTCTAAGAAGGATCAAAGAAACCACTTTATCTTAAGCTGGACTATGAAGGAGGCCAGCCCAGGCTATGATTCGGACTCTGCTACTGGAACTGTAGAACCTCGGGCAGGTTTCTGAATCCCTGTGCCTCATTTTCTTCACCTGTGAAATAGGGGCAATCATACTGCCTATGCCATAGGGCCCTGAGGAGGACTAAAGGAGATGACACACATAGAGCACTTTGGACCATACCGAGCACATACCTGCTAGCTAAGACAATTCTTAAAATCAGCCCTGAGTGTCCTAACAAGGCATTGGGTTCCTCCTTTGGATCAAGATGCTGGCTCAGAACCCTCTGTTCCCCAGTCTTGGAAGGAGGTATGAAAAGGTCTTTAAAACGGTCTTTAAAAAGGTCTCCATGGAATACTGTGTTCTATTAGAAGAAATCAAAAGCCCAGGTTCCTTGCCAGATTTCCTAGCTGATCCCAACTACAATCAGCATCCTCGGGCAAGGCTAAAAACCCAGGGCAAGTGAATTATACGAGGCAGACTGGGAAGGCCTAAGACAGGATTTCTCAAATTTGAAAACTTCCTTCTCTTTTAAAGAGAAAAAAGTCTCACAGAGTCTCATCTATCCCTACTCTCAATTAACCCTAATTATAATAACCATAATGCTTCTTACATCTACACAGATAGAAAACTAGGTCTAAGCCCCTTTGCTTAAAGCCCACGTAATAGCTTTAAAGCTAAACAAAATTACTATATATAAATAAAATTACATTCAAATTAAATACACTAATAAAATAAAATGGAAAATAACAGCACTGACTAGAGGGGCGCCTGGGTGGCTCAGTGGGTTGAGTGTCTGCCTTCAGCTCAGGTCATGATCCCGGGGTCCTGGGGTGGAGCCCCACATCAGGGCCCCTGCTCAGTGGAGAGCCTGCTTCTCCCTCTCCCTCCCACTCTGCCTACTTGTTCTCTTTTTCTTTCTCTCTCTCTCTTATTTATTTTATAAATAAAAATTTTTATAAGAATAGTAATAACTAGCATTTACTGAGCACTTACTATAGGGCTAAACAGTTAAGATATCACTACTCTTGGATCGCTCCTGGTCTACAAAAATGGGAGTCCTGTGTGGTTCAACCCAACATGTGCAAGACACTCTCTAAGAGCTTTCTTCAATCCCCACAGCACTGTGAAGTAGGCACTACTATTACCCCATTTTACAGTTGAGAGAACAGGGGCACCAGGAAATGAAAACATACATTTTTGAATCTTCTACATGAGTGGCAGGTGCCGAGGAGGGAGAAGACAGCATTCGGGGGAGCCTTGCCCTAGGAGGCATACCTCTGGGGATGGGATGATGGAGGAAGGGCCAGACCCAGAAAGGGTTTGGGGCAGCCTGTGAGCACGAGCAGGAGACCAAGATGGGGAGGCTGGAGGGCAGGTGCCAGCCACGGAAGAGCACCTTGACTGGGTGTCTTTTTGTGTTTGTTCTGGATGGGGCAGAAAGGGGGCTTTGCTGGGACTCCCGAGGGGAGAGACACTGGCAC